AGCAGTAGTGGATTAAGGAGTAGACGCAGAAATCAACCAATCATAATCGAATGTGAGAAAGATAATCAACTATGATTAGTCGATTTCTGCACCTACTCCTTAATTCACTACTGCTACTGCCCATTGTAGACCACGCATAAGATTGGATTCGCTACTGGCCTTACGGTCTCTATCGTGATTGACTAATTCGCTTACTGATTATGTCTTACGGCCTTAAGGTGCCTACTGATGGACTCGGCAAATGCCGCTCGCGGCAGCGCGGCACTTTAGAAGGAACTAGATTCTAGGGGCTTCTGTTTCTGATGCCGCTTGCCGCGTGAACGCGGCGTTTGCTGCGTTGACACGGCGTCCATTTGAGTGGAACATAAATAATCCAGTTGGAAGACATATTGAAAAAGTGAAATAACCTTAACTTCTTATTGTCTTAGTACCTCAGTAGCACAAGGCTTGTTTCTGATTATAGTTGTAAGGATTGTTTTAACAAGATTAGAGCAAACGATGTTTGCGAAAATGAAAATTCATGAGTGGTTAGTGCAGTGCACTCATGTAATTAATCAGCAGAATGCAGAAGCAGATCGACGTGATAAACTACTCAGATCATTAGCTTTGTTATTAGTCGAAAAAAAAAAACGGAGAAACAAAAAGTAGCGTTTGTGGGTTGCACCAATTTTTCAAAAACGCTATGAGCACGGTTTTTATCATGTCTTGCTGCCAACACTGAAATTAGAAGATCTTCCATAATTATTTTCGGATGTCAGCCACGCAATACGAAGAGTTGTTATCTATAGTAGGTCCGCATCTAGAAAAACAATACGTTGTGCGAGAGCCGATAAGTGCAGCAGAACAATTGACATTGACATTACGGTAGACATTTTTTATTTAGTTGTATGTAAATGTTATCAATTATATTTCATTATATCAACTATTACATTTCAGATTTCTAGCAGCTGGTGATTCCATGTCTTCAATGACGTATCAATATTTGATAGGCTTGACAACTGTAAGCAACATTATTGCTACAACGTACAGAATTATTTGGGACAATCTGTGTCCTGTGGTCCTTCCACCTCGATTACTTGAAAATGACGCGGAGAATCGCAGAAGATTTTGAAGATTTGTGGGACTTTCCACATTGCATTGGGGCAATTGACGGAAAGCATGTAATCATTCAAGTAAATTATACTTTCATTACACTTCTTTTCAGACATTATTCAACTATCAAAAGCTATTGGAAAAAAAATTAAATAACAATATAAATGGATTCCAATATATGTAATAACCTTTGTGTAATTTCAGTGTCCGGACAATGCAGGCTCCAATTTCTAGAACTACAAAAATAGTCATAGCATTGTACTATTAGCTATTTGTGATGCCAATTACATTTTTCGATTCGTTGATATTGGTGCGTATGGCAGACGAAGTGATGGAGGCATCTTTCGTGAAAGTCAATTAGGTCAACATCTTTGTTGTGTATGTAAGGAAAACGCAGACATATTGTTAGTGACAAAAACTGAGTATATTCTCTGGTCGTTTTGTACAAGCACGTGGAAGGCACACAGAATACAACCGCCATAGAAAACGAAGACGAAGGAAGGAATCGGCGCACGCCAACCTAATTAGTCACTAGGGACGCGAGTTCCTCTCCTCTAAATGGATCCCTAGCTTCTAACGCCCGCAGTGGCGCGCATCTTTGATCGTCCTATACTGAATATCTAACAAAGACCAAACGGACCGCAATTAAAAATTCATTCAAAAGTATTCTAGTTTTATTAGAAATAAGCTCCCATTTTTTTGTAATACTGTCTAGAACCAATTCCGTAGGAACATTGGTGAACAAGGACACTACATCCAAAGAAATTAATAAGTAATCCGATTCAAAGTAAACATCCTTTAATTTTTCAATGAGCTGAAAGCTGACTTTTACTCAGTTATATTTTTAATATAACTAGGGGCTTCCAAAATGGAATCATTAATGATGTTATGAAGATATAGTGATAAAAAATAAAGTGGACTGTTTATTGATGACACAATGATTCTTAACGGATTACCTTTTTTATGGATCTTGGTTAACCCATATGCTCTTGGAATAATGCCGTCACTCGTGAGTAATCTCCGATATGTGGAATCATCTATAAACCCAGACAGCACAGTAACGTTTTAAAAATGTATTTAAAACGTACATGTTGGACGTTTTGGACATATTAAAAACGTCCAGATTAGATCCATGCATATTTTAAAAACGTTTCAAAAACATCCAGTGTTACCATTTTGGATTTCTTAAAAACGTCCATTTTAGGACGCAATGGACTAAAACTGGACCAAATTAATACATTAAACAAATTTTAGACCACAATCCAGACAAAATGATTCTTATAAGAATATATAGATAGCCAATGAGAGCTCTGCTTTACATCGTCGCGTAAGAAAAAGCAGAGCTTTCATTGGATATCGCCCATCGCGTCTAGTGTGAACTAAGCGCATTAGAGACCCTCAAGTATCTCTTACGTTGTATCTCTTTTAGTATCTCTTAGTTTCTCTTATGGCCGATTGTTCCATCTTTTGGTAAAGTTTACCTGTTAGATAAGTAACAAAATTACCCCATCACGCAGATTGCCAGATTTACTTATACCAAGTAAACTTTACCAAAGAACTTTACGAAAGAACAATCGACCCTTAGTATCTCTTCGCGTATCTCTTACTTGAGGATCTCTACTAGCCATCCCCTCCACTATAGGCCAGACTCTGGTATTCTAGGGACTCTATTCTCCCCACTAGTTTCTGACTGGGGTGCGTTCAAAATCGTCGTCCGGATGCACCCAGATGTTATTGTTTTATCCTTGTTGTTCACGAATGATAAACAAGGATAACACGACACCTGGGTGCACTCAAATGATGATTCTGAACGCAGCCCTGGCTGACTGCATGTTGGAAGCGAAAGATTCCAAATTCTTATCACTGCAAGTACCAAGCTATTGCTGCTCGACTTGACACTTACTGCGTACTGTCTGAACTAAGCTTTAATTTGGTAAATTTTCGTTACCGGAGGTAACAAAAGTAAAACTCCTTGTGCGATTTTTAAAAAATTTTAACGTCAAGTCAGCGAAAGCAATGCGAGTAGCTTAGAAAATTTTTTACATGAAATGGACATTTTTCAAATGTCCAAATGTAAACATACTTTGTACGTTAAATAACGTACATTTTTAAAATATTCGTACTACGTCCATGGACGTTTGGACCAGATTAAAACCAAGTCTGGATGTCCAATGGATGTCGTGTGCTGTCTGGGAACCCTTTCCCTTTCCATCTAACTAACAAAGAGTGCAAATCACTCGTGAGTTTTTTTGTCGGATCTTTATTGATAACTTCATATGTGTTATTGTCTGATAAAATCACCTCCATTTTATCTATGTAATTGTTTTTGTTTAGAGCAACAGTGACATTCTCCTTATCCGCGTTAGTAACTAATAAATCAGAGTGATTTTTTAAAAATTCTTTAGTTGATTTTTGCCAATCACAAAGTAATCTCTCGCTCGGTTTATTATTTGGAAATTCTTTATGGAATTTTTCCAGTATTGTAATTGTGTTGTGTCTAACAAAATTAATTGTATTCTCAGGACGACCGTTAATATTATTTTCAATATGTTTAATAAACTCGACTGTTGTTCTATCTATGTTATTCTTATTAACAGGTAATCCGAAACTTTCTTCTAATTGCAATAAATATTTAGCTTCTAAGGGAATTCTTCGAAGAGAATAGCTTCGAAGAGAACAAATTTTTGACACTCCTATGGGGTCTCCTTTATCGCCAATTGCAACTGATATTGTTATGCAGGACTTAGAGATGATAGCAATTGAAAAAATACCATTTAGGCTCTTATTTTATTTTCGATATGTGGACGATATTATTTTAGCGGCTCCATCTGATGGAATCACAGACATTTTAAAAGTATTTAACTCATTACATGGAAGACTGCAATTTACTATGGAAGTTGGTGAGGGGATGGGAGATTAAGTTTTTTAGACACGATGTTGATCGTGGAAGAACATATGCTGGTTTTTGATTTGTAAAGCGACTTTCTCTGGCACATTTCTTAATTTTATGTCACACCACCCACTATGTCACAAAAGAGGTGTGATATACGGTTTTGTTGACAAAATTATACGTTTATGTCATCCTCGTTTTCAACAAAATAATTTGATCAGTGCAATTAATATCTTTCTACAAAATAGTTATCCACTGGAGTTTGTTTTTGCTTCTGTATAAAAAAGTTCCATTCTGAGAGGAATAGAATAACTACTGACAAAAAAAACCAGAGTTCTAACGATTATCTTTAATAACCGATGCGTTGAAACCAATATCAAAAAATTTTTTTAATTTTTCTGAGTTCACACAGGTCAGAAATTTTTTTTCGGAATTCGGTATTTTATTGAGAGTTCTGGGTAGCTCTAAAAGAGTTCTAACCATTATCTTTAATAACCTATTCGTTGAGACCGATATCTAAAAAGTCTTTTGTATTTTTATGTCTACGCGGGTCAAAAATTTTTTTTCGAAATCCTGTACTTTATTGAGCTTTCTGTTTAGATCTACAAAAGTTCTAACGATTACATTTAATAACAGATTCGCTGATACCAATCTCTAAATAATTCTATAAGAACTTTGAAATTTCAACTTTTGAATTTTTCTAGGTCATACACGAGTCAGAAATTTTTTTTTTAAATACGGTATTTTATTGAGAGTTCTGAGTATCTCGACAAGAGTTCTATCGATTATCTTTAATAACCGATAGGTTTAAACTAATATCTAATAAGTTTTTTGAATTTTTTTATGTTCACACAAATCAGAAATTTTTTTACGAAATTCAGTACTTTGTTGAGAATTCTTGGTAGCTGTGCACGAGTTCTAACGACTATCTTTAATAACCGATGCGTTAGAATCAATATTTTGTTACTCCCTGTCCTCCATAAAAATACAAATTTTCTTCCCTTTTTGTCTTTTCATTCCGCGCTGAATTATTTTTCCTTATTTAATCTCACATCATCTATCTAAAATATTTCTATTAATTAATTGCAGATATTCCTAGCGAAAAACTTATTCGGCGTAGTATTATTCCATCATGCCGACATCGCGTGACTCATGTGTCGCGTAGCGCGAGCCAATCGAAACACTCGCGAGGCACATGCCGCGTGCCGATGTATTGCAACGAAATTCCACGAAGGATAACTCCGCGAGGATTAATTAACAACGTATATTTTTGGTCTTTCGCAGAAAACAAAAACAGATGATTTCAATTTATTAAATAATTATATCCTAATTCAAAGATTATAACCACGTTTTGCATTCCCATAAATTATTTCAAGAAACATTATTAATATGTACATTAATAATTAAATAAATAAAACATTTTAATACTAGATTATAATTAAACAATAACGAGAATTTAATTATGCACTCAGAGACGCTTATAAAGATTATTAAAGTTAATAGTATAGAAGGATAAATTCAGGTAAAATTTCAAGTTTTATCCTTGACAATATTATATCCTCGAAAATCACGGAAAAATTACCTCAAGTATTAGCAATGCAGGACAAGCGAAGAGGTATTGTTGGAGGTATTCTCGGGCGAGTTTTTGGCGTCAGAGATTCCCGAGAAAATTACTGCTATTTATTAGGAAAACATGTTGAGCGAAGAGGTTGCAATAGGTATTCCTCCCCTTCGGAGGTGTCACCGATACCGTCGACCAATGAGAACTCTGGATAATTCGCGCGATAGAAGGGTTGACAGCGTCCCCTTGGAGTGAATCAACCAATTACTTCGTCGATACGAGGAGGGCTGATTGTGGGGTGACTACACCCACTCTCAGAATACTTCCAACAACCTCTTTGCTTATCCTGCTTTGCGAATATTCGAAGCGATTTTTCCGAGATTTTCGACGACATAAAACCTGGGCTGCGTTCCGTTTCACTGCATGATGCGCATGATGCATCTTTTATCCTTGTTATTCACCGAATGTTAAACAAGGATAAATGATGCATTATGCACATCATGCGTGAAACGGAACGCAGCCCTGGTGCCTGCCTAACCTTTCCGTTCAAATTTATCTTTTCATTAATTTTAATGATCTTTAGCATCCCTACGAATGCATAATTAAATTTACGTTATTGTTCAATTATATATAATCTACCCCGTTAAAATATATTTATTTAATTATTAATCTAATTATTAATAGTATTCTTTTAAATTATTCATTCGAACATAAAATGCAACAATGAATTTCGCACACTAATAAGCTGCGATCCATTTGACGCTAGAAACGCTTCGAAGCATTCTTTGATTAGTCAATTCGTAAAATTCTTTGTTCTGATTGATCGCTCAAACGCTTCGAAGCGTTTGTAGCGTCAAGTGGACCGCAGCCATGATGTCACTTGCGATATAAAACAATAACTAATATCTATTTGTTTCCTTCGAAAAAAAGAAAAAATATATGTTAACTTATTTTGTTAATTAACTTGCTAAAAATTTACTAATAGGCAGAAAATATATATATATGTGTCAAGTCTCTGTAAAAATTAGATATTTGAGTTCTCGATATCTATCTAATTTCTAACCTATCATGTCGATATCGCGCGCTTCACCATATTATTCTTTTAACGATTTCCAGAGATATTTTTCTTCTTGTTATATACATATATCAAAATATTTGAGTTTTTTTACTGTCAATTCTTTTGCCAAAATCATAAGGAGAGTACCAATTCGATATAATATAGATATGTATATTATTGAATGAGAAAGATCTATGAATATAATTTCTAAAACTTTTTATTATGCAAAAATATATATATTTACCATTAATAATTAGAAAACATTGTTAAAAAAGATATTCTTCAATTATGTGTTTCAAATATAATGTCTAAAGATTTGCTTCTTTTGATTAAGTTTGTATATAGGTACATATTGTATAAAGAAAGTTAGACACAGTTAAATAACAATTAATGCAATTCAACATGTTCATGGTTACTATATTTTATTTCAAACGTGTTATATATAAATTATCATACAAATACAATAGCATTATCGTAATATATTATAAATGTTAAACAATCCTGAGTAATTATTCTACATAAGGGACAATCGAAAACATTTTAATGTCTCTATCATTTTAATATCAAGCGAATCACTGGAACGAATCGCAATAATAATCGCAGTAATAATATATAATATAAAATACAATAATAATATATAAACAATCCATACACACGATATATTGAGGATTGGAGACGAAGGGAGAGGAATTAATCGTCTTATATTTTATTAATGCTTAATAAAACGTCATAAACTATACAGTATTAACATCAAATGATCGCAACTTGAAAAACATTTACACAATGAGAAGATGCGATAATACACAGTGCAATGCCATATCGCTGTATTACGTGCAATATCTATACATAACAAGAGTGAGAAACAAGCGTAAAACGATCTCTCTTCGTTCTCGATTAACAAACTAAAAAATTTCTTTTTTCCTTTTCACTTATTATACAACCTAGTGTCAGAAATATCTTCTCTGTGTAATAATCAGAAGTGCATAATTTATAAAATATTTGTGTCTTAAAGATAACAAACTTAACGGGGTCCCCTCTGGGAGAGGATAGATGTACGCAAGTATAGAATCAAATTTTTTTTTAACCAGCATAAAATGGAATCTTTTATTTAACTTGACAAATATACTCAACAAATACAAATTCTTCAGAATCACGAAAATCTAATGATGTTAGACATTTAATTATTCGTATTTCAACGCTTAAAAATATTATTTCCTTTGACAATAACCGTAGAACAGGATTTGTTTAACACGAAAAATCAAAGCGTAATTTCATTCATCGAATACGCTCAACCGATGCAAATTTCTAAAAGATTACGGAAACCTAATAAATATTTATCCTTGGTCCTATATATTTTTACATCGAAACACAGTTCTATACTACATTATAATAGGCTGTCTCTCTCACGACGGTTGTATACATAATGATTCGTAATACGCATTTTCTTAACATACGTCCGTTTTTAGCACCATCAAACAAAATATTGTGAAGAATTTCGCACGTTTTGCGTTTTGTAATAATTAATGTCCCGAAATATGTATTCCAAAATCGCGACATTCGCGGAAAATCAATTGTAACAAAAAGCCTGATCGCAGCTAGCGGTAAAAAACCCCCTTATCAAAGTCTAAATGCAATATCAAAAAACGGCCGCCCGCAAAAGTGACGTGACGTGAGTAAATACTTAGAAAAATTTCTCTGGAAAAATTCTGTCAAAAACGACCTATCGTGATCGATAGGCCCGCGATGAATTCTTGACATTACGAATTTTCACATCGTGGAAGAAGAAGGGGGATTGCGCAATCCGTCTTCTAATAATCGGGACCCGTTTCAGCTATTGAATCATGTTTACTTAATAAACATGTTCAATATTCACGACGAGCGCAATCGGTGTATCGACTTTGGTCCATCAAAAATCATCCAAGCTTCACGCGATTCTCGTACGGCAGTGGTGAAATTATAATTCGTGTTCACGCGAATCGCAGATGTTATCCGAATGGTCCGTGTCTCGTCGAGCGTTTTAAAATTATTTTTACAATTCCATTGTATGTATATCAAAATATTTTCAGGCTTATAGTTTCCGAAAGAAGAAACATCAGAACGATATTTTTTCTTTTATTTCGATATTATAAATAATGTCCAATGTTTTATTATCCGGACTGTCATAAATTTTGTTTGTCAAATAATTTTAAATACGCCAAATGTGATTGCTTCGACCATTTCTGTGAACGCATATGTACTATCTAATTATTAATCGGTGAAATAAAAAAAAGAATGGAAGTTCAGAGTTCGAAACGTTTCTTCCTCTCGGCGACCATGCCTACAGCGGGTAGAGGATGATGGTAACTCGGTGTGGGTGTCGGAGGTAAGCTGCGACAACTTCTGCTGGACCATCTCACTGCTGGAGACCTCATCAACTCTGTAATATATAAACAAATGACAGAACTCGTCAAGTATCCATAATTATAAAAGCGTCTGAAGACAATCATCTCAAGATATAAAGCAAATAAAAATCATAAATGTAAAAATTTTGTCACGAGAACTAAAGCAAGCATACGAAAATCATATAAATCGTAATAAAATGCGATAGACGTGAAAGCGATAACGTGAACGGAATGATACATTTAGTTAACATTCAACAAAGTGACGAAGGAGGCAAAAAGACCTGCAACGGAGAGAGCTGAGGGTTCCGGGGTGAAGCGGGATGTGTGACGAGTGTTGGCACGGAGGGTGTATGTCTGCGAGAGTTGCTGCTTTTCATTCTGCTTGGTCTCCTGCCACCGCTGGGTGCCAGTGCCGCCGCCGACTCGCATCTCTGTTGTTGTGCCACCTTACATGTCAAACAGTTGTCGGAATATTGTTACGCTCAATGCATATCGTTACATGTATCCATAAGTGCCTCTCATACAGACAGCATCGGTTATTGATCACGATATGGGAAAATATAACGAGAAACATTAAAACTATAAATTATGATCTGAACGTTAAGATGTTGAACTATTTTAAATTCATTTTTTATGAAATTAATGAATTAATTTCAGAAATTATAATTGCGTGCCGATATGGTTGTCGGACTTTCAACGCAATCAAATCTGAAATATTAATAATCCCCCCAAAATTCCTAACTTAAAAACTGTAATAAACTGCGAAAAATAATGCCGTCCTTGCAAGAGATCCAGGTTCGACTCCCGGCCGAGGCATTATTTTTCGCAAAATAAGTTTATTACAGGTTTTTAAGTTGGAAAATTTGGGAGGATTATTATTTCAGATTTGATTGCGTTGAAAGTCCGACAACCATATCGGCACGCAATTATAATTTTTGAAATTAATTCATTTAAAAATGAATTTAAAATAGTTCAACATCTTAACGTTCGTTATTGGCGCTTCTTAGTTTAAAATAATGTATTTAACATAAGCGGTCTTCCAATCTTATTATTGTATAAATTATGAATCACTAAAGGATATTTGTCGCGTAATGCTTTTACTTGAAATACTTTTGACTATCGTAGAATTGTAGAAGGAATTTGTTACTGCCTTTTAGATTTGTTACATCTTTCTCTCTCTCTTAGATCTATTAATTTAGATTTTTCGCTTTTCATAGAGTAAGTATATATGAGTATATATGTACGTATGACTGTATACGTAAATACATATACACGTATTTACGTAATTATATAAAAAGTATAAAAACTACAATAAAAATTAATATAAAGATATATATCTTATTTGGAAAAAATATATATGTATAATATACATAATATTTCTTTTCGAATATCTTAAGATAATAGAAAAACTAATTTTAGTTTAAATTAATTAATTTAGTTTTAGGCTGTTGTCAAATTCCATCATTGCTACAGAGCTAAATATTAAGATATTCTTAATTGGAGATGTGCCAGTGACTAGATCTCTATGTGTGGAAAATTATATGTATATTGTGTATATGTATACTTTGAATTGAGATAATTAATGCAGATACAAATTTCTTTGCAAAAATTCTGATATGTAAATACAATATATTTTCATTTAACCATTGTCACATCAACGTACCACTATACGTTACCCACATATCTTTAGCATATTATATACGATACATGGCTAGTTAATATTTCTATAGATATTTATAGCGTATATAGTGTGTTACACCCACAATAAGGCAAGGTTAATTCGCATATTGCACATCGTGGACCCTTACATATATGAATGTTAGCAAATAATCAGCGTTAGACAAGCATAATGCATTATATGTAATTGATATAAAATAATAGTAGGCACGCTTTTAACGTTAGTTATCAGTCTAATTTATAAATAACATCCCAGATAGCAAAGCGTGTCTCAGCAAGATCGCACAAATCTGTGATTGCTGGCAACTTGCCATAGATTTGTCTTCAACGATTTCGAATATACCGACATGTTAACCGATTATAACAACATGCAAGCAACAATGTATATACGTATTGCCAGCAGTTTAACAGCAAGCTAGGTGCATCAATGTTATCTTGTGTTGTCGGTAATATGACAGCATTGTATGATGATGCATATTATTATGGCAACATGATGGCAACAGTAGTACGAATTTTGATGACGATTTTAAAGTTGTCGGCAAATTGCTATTCAAAATTATCATATCGTGAAGACATCAAGTTGCCAACAAATGAGGACTCAGTTGCTACAATTCTGCTAGCAACATATGCTTAGCAATGCATACTTAGTAAGCAACATTCCAGCAACAAGACACGTTGCTATCTGGGATAATTAAAATTAGAAGATCGCCAATTTTATCAATTATTCTTACGAAATTAATGCAATAATTAACAACGTAGTCGTAATAAACAGAAAGCTTAAACTCATTCGTATATACATGCGATAAGGACAAGCTCTTCATAGGAATTAACAAACGTCACCATTGCTCAATAAATATTGCATAGTTACATATTTATGCATAATTAAGCGGCCTCCACACAATATACAATACATCAATATTACGCAATAATATTGATTATTTAATGTTTACATTAATGTTATTAATACAATTATTTGTACTAATAATATTGATCGTGTACAGCTCGCTCAAAATAATATGCTCAGTCTTCATATCAGTCAATATTTTAACAATGTTAATCTTAAAAGCGCTGTTAATTTACATAAAGCACGTGTTAATCTCACTCTAGTATCACTCTTCCTCTGCAAGAGTAATAATCAAAGACAGAAACCCAGCCTGTGATTTTCGCGATTTTTCACAACTTTATAGCGTTTATATATTAGAAAACGATACAACAGTTTCGGTTGCATGCGGAAAATCATTTCAAATAAAAATCTTCGAATCAATACTGATCATAAACAATACCATCATAAACAATAAGACCATAATTACGTCAACGATTACATAGTAATATTTTACAAAAGCACCGTGGACTCTCTCACTGTCAATCAACAATACATTCCATCACTGTGGACTCTTTTTCCCTTCCTTTTTCTCCGTATTCATCTCTCTTCTGTACCTTGATACTGATGAGGCAAGCCGCTCCTCGGTCTCAGGCTGTCCCACAATGATGAGCCCAGGTTGCCGTTACGCTCCTTTTGCCCTAAACTCGCCGGCTGTTCTTTCCCATCAACGTGCGAGCCGGAAACCCCGGTACTACTCGCCGCCTTAGCCAGATTATTCGAGTACGGCAACGAGACGGACTTTACGCGCTCAAGTCTGTACGAGAACGCGCTCTGAGGTCGATCCGCCGACAGAGACTGTTTTTGCAACGCGCTGGATAAGGAGCTCGCGCCTTTCGGACTCCGTTCACTCGTTAATTTCTGCTCGCTGCCACCCTGACTACCTCTGAGGCGTTGCGGCGAATAGGCGGGCGAGTAGTTTAACGATAGGGCGATTTTCGACGGCACGCCGGACGATTCACGAAGGGTGTCCCCATGCTGTTAGTGAAATATCGAAAATATGCGTCAATGCGGCTGATGGGTGAGTGAGAGGGATGGGTTAAATGCTAATAAAATCGCTGAACTATCCGCTAAATTACAATTACATCAGTTATGGTATTTACGATTCGTCGTCTAGTAAGTAAGAAACATATTGGATCATTCCAGTAACATTGTAACAACGTTACAACGTTACTGCAATGTTACTAGAATGTTTCAATATATTTCTTGTTTACTGGGCGGACTCGTTCGCGCCTGAGATCTAATATTATATTATTTACAAGGTGATATACAAGTTCGAGAACGTGTAAAAACGATGAGGTAGTCGTTAATAAAAAGCGTATGAATTTTTATTTGAGCGATTAAAACACGGATACAGTCAGAAATTTCGGTAAAGCGCGACAAGCTCACTAAGTGAAACACCATAATATGTAATTGCAGCAGAGTTAATCAATTTAGTAGTGTACATGTTTGTTAATCACATCTACTCTTTTCTAAATGATAAACTTTCTAATCAAGGGCCAGCCGTACCTTGAATTGTTGCAGTCGATGTATTTCTTCCCTCGGTTCGGCGAACTCGTTGTCCCTACCTCTTAGAATCTGTATAGTATCGTTGACACCGCTGTCATTTGTCTCCAATACCAGATGCGCTCGCAATTGCTTGTTCCTCGCATCCAATTGCATGATGTGCTGTTGCGCCTGGGCGAGTTGCTTGGACAGATTGCCCACTTTCTCCTCCAACGCGGCTGACTCCACGCACTTGGACGAATACTTTGCGGACAGAGAAAGAATCTCTTGCTTTATCTCCTCCATTTCTTCCCTGCAAAAAAGAAAATATATACATTTAGTCTCTGCGTCAATTTAACTTGACGGTTAGCGTCGAATTGAAATCCTTGCATACTCGTGTTCTTTGTGTAGCACGCCGATGTCCTCACGCGCCTGCATCTGCTTGATAAACTCCTGCTTGAATTTGGCGATTTCTTTTTGCACTTCGTGTTCGTGTGCTTTTCTCATGGCGTCCAGTGCAGCCAGAGTCGCTTGCGTTTCTTCGGAGAGCGCCTGTTCCTTTTCCACCCTGAGGTTTTCCAATTCCTGCCGATGTTTCTCTTCCATCTCGGCAATAATACGCCTGTGCGAGTTCTCCATAGCCAACAAACCCTTTTCGCATAATGCGCGTAACTGCTTGATCTCCTCCTTGTACCGTTTTCGCGTCTCAGCATCAGTGTCCAATTCGGCGCTCATCGATCTCTGATAGGCAGCTCTCAACTCGTTCACATGAGCCGAATGCTCGGAATCCATCGCGTTAAGACGGTGCTCCAGTTTCCTAGCTCTCTCACGTAAACTGGCCGCTTCCTGCTCGTATTGTGTCGTCAAAGATTGCCGCTGGCTATCCAATTCGCCCTTAATATCTATCAAATCTCTCTCCTGATTGCACTTGAGTGCTTCTAATTCCTGATTATGTTCATTAGTTATTTTCTGAATAGTTTCCTGTAATTGATTGCATGTCTGACACGACATACTATTCATGTAATCGCTGAGCTTCCTTATCTGTTCTCGTAAATGTAAGCACTTTTCGCATACACTAGACCAATCCGTGACGCTGTTCGCCGATTTAGGCCAAATTATATTGTCGATTTTCACGCCCGTTTTGTCTCTTATACATTTGCTGAGTTCAGCTAGATTCTCTTCCAAGTGAAACAACGACTGACTGAAGTTCTTAAGCTGCTCTTTCGACTCTCTCCTTCCAGATATCCTGTCCTCGCATTCCTTAGTCAATCGCTGATAAAGGTAACTATACTCCGCGTCGAGAATCGGATTGCTTTGAAGATCGTATCCCTCGTCGTTTGCTAGACAGGAAAAGATCTCTTCATTTCGAATAAGACTAGATACGAAAGTTTCGCCAGACAATGCTGTAGATGATTGTCGTGTGGTTTCCTGAAGGAGGGCGATTCTGGAATCTATTAAAGCTTTGTGCGCAATTATGTCGGCGTAGTCTGTAAGCAGCTGGCGAGATTCATGCTTAGAGTCGAGAGTCGTCAACTTGTTCTTCTTCATCGTACGCAGACAGTCCTCGTAAGCTTCAGACAGCTCGTGTATGGAAATCTCCATTTCTTGACGCAATCGCGCTTGCGCCGCGTCCATCCACAATTCTAGCTTAATATTGTCTGCGTTATCGAAGCTGAGACAAATGTCCGTGATTGAAGTGATGTTTTGTTCATACAATTGTCCGTAACGCATGATAACGTGAGACACTTCGGCCTGCACGAGTTCCTTGCTCACGGTCTCCTGTGCTAAAGCCCATGCCTCGCGAATACGTCTATCCTCGAGTAGTTTCTTGTTCGAGCCGCTGATCTGCTTACCCGCGAGATCTTCCTGCTCGGACAGACTCAACGTCTCGGCGGCCAGAGATTCCGCGAGCTGTCGCAACTTCGCGTCCTTGTACTTTCGCATGATCTCGTTGATCTCCCGCTGCTTCTGCAGCAGAAAGTTTAGACTTTCGCTGCGAGCGGCACTAATCTCCTTCGGCGTTTCCGTCGACACGGTAGAGGATCCTATCAGTACTAACTTATTCGCTAACACTTTAGTGAGATACTGAATGTAACTCGTTTTTTGGTACGTTTTGGGCTTAGTTCCATGAATCTTACGCTTTAAGCTTGAGGCAAGCTGACTAGTTTCGACCAATTCACTCAAAACGGCGCTTCTGTCTGTCGTGCGATTCAGCGCGCACTTTATCTGTCGCAGGATCACCGACTCGAAGGCTATTCTCTCGGCGACGAGTCTCATTTTCTCCCTCTCGTCCAGCCGTCCTTCCTGCGCCAGCAACTGCCGTCTCTTTGTGAGTTCGCTCAATTTATCCTTAAGTATAGTTTCTAACCTAGATACCACTACCCCTACTGACTCGGTGATTTGAGCGCTAGCCTGGTTTTTCTTACATTCTAAGCACGAGTCCAATATTTCGTTCACCTCGCGCAAACACTTCTCGGCTTTATCTTCCGCTTGCGTCGAGCCAAGACACTTCTCCAATCGTCGTTTCGACTTCGACACTACTCTCTCCAGTTTCTTCAGTCTTGCCAGGACTTCCAACGATACCTCGGAGGACCCACTGATTTCGCTACATTCACTGGAGTCTTTTTCCGCGTCACTGACCATGGTCTCAGCAACGCTCGCAACTTTCGTTTCTAGAGTACTTAGTCTAATCAACACTTTCATTGGTTCAGAACTTGTCGCGCTATCTAAGGATTTTCTTCGTAATCTAGCCCGATCCAGATTTTTGCTTTCTCTTCTTTTTTCTTTTTTCGGATTGGGACTCGATTCCTTCGAGCTGCTGCCAGCCGAAACAGGAGCACTAATGCTCTTGCCTCTCTCTATAGCGCAGATCTTGTTTTCTAGATCCAAAAGTTTGTCCTCTACCTCCTGAGAGATCTGGAAAGATTCTCTTCCTTTGAGAGAGAGTGATCTTCTCTTATCTCTGCTTTCAGCTTTTGTCAATTTTTGCTTTAGAGTTCTAATTTGTTTTTCGCTGGCAGCTAACTTATTAGTCAGGTCTTGGATTCTCGCCGCCATTAATTGAATCTGTGCTTGATTTGTCTCGCTGACGTTAGCTGCGTCCTGCTTATGGGCAAAGATTTCCAACTCCAAAACATCTTGTGTAGCATGAGCTTCTCGTAGTTCTTTCCTCATGGCTCGAATTTCCATGACAGCCTTCTCAAAACGGCTTCGCAACTCGTCGTATTCCTCCATAACTCTAAAATAAAAATATCACATTGTATACGCGATTACTACTCATGCGATATACTTCTTATATCTTTATACAACGCGCATTTACCTTTCCTTGTCCAATGCAGTCAAATCTAAATCCAATTCAATATTGGTCAAATCGCTCAGCGAATCGAAGCTTCTTCCACGTTCCCTCGAAGCAGAAAGTCCATTCTTTTCCTCCAATTCTCTCATTCTATTATAAAGCCGTTCATTTTCCTCGATACCTAATTTAAGGAATAATATATTATCAATCAAACATTATTTATATATTTATAAAATTTATTAAAATATAAAATCATGTGTTTTACTAATGAACAGTACATATACGTACCTTGTGATAATCTATTGCTAAGAGCTGCTGTTTCCGCCTGTAGATGCTCGACAGATCGGTGACTCGATGTTAGTTCGTTCGTAAGCATTTCGCATCTCTCTGTTGTTTCTCTCAGGATAGCCTCTGTTTCAAGTAATTTACATTCTAAGACTTCTTTCTCCCTGTTGTACACCTTTTTCATCTTCTCCAAATCGTCTAGATCTTTATTTCTCTGCTGTTCCGTCCTCTGTATCGTATTCAACAGTTCTTCCACTTGTTTCTCCCTGATAGACGCCTCTGCTTTCTGTTGTCGAAGCCTAGATAGTTCCTTCTCCGCATTTGCAATGTCGGTTCGTGCTGCATTCAGCTGCGATTTCAAGTTCTCAATTTCATTTTCCTGACGTTCGACAATGACTAGTAACGTACTCGGATGAGACTGATTTTGATCCAACTGATCGCGCAGCAGTGACACTTGATTTTCCAAAAGCTCGACAATAAGAGGACTGTCGTTGGTACTTGAAAGGCAGTTGTTACTCTGCAAGTGGCCATTGTTCTGCTCCTCGTCCTCGCCAAGTTCGCAACAAGCCATCATTAGATCTTCTGATCTTACACTGTCCAAGGTACTTCTCCGCGAACTTGGCGGCGAGCTCCGGCTTCTCTTGTAGACTCTCGATCTGGAACTCGATCTAGATCGAGCTTTCACCCTCGACAGTGCGGTTCTCGTTAATGGCGGCGACGGTGGCAACTCCGACCACTCGTGGTTTGCTGAATCTGACCAGCCGGAACCTTTTAGCGTCATAGGCCAATCACCGTTTCTCACCAGCGGTGGCGATATCGGCATCTCCGACCAGTCACCTGACTCTCTTCGACCACCCTCGGAAGCGGTTCTATACTCTTCGTCAGACGAGAACAGAACCGATCTGGGCGTGATGGATGTCGATGGAACAACGGAGTCTCTTTCACGATCCGTAATCGATCTACAACAATATTTGTAAGCGTTCTCAACTTTTTGAAAAATATAATGAATTATCTATTCTCTAAAAATTTCTCTTATAAAAAATATTTGCTCCGATATATATGTGTGACTATTTTAAGCGTAAACTCTTTAAATATGTAATCATTATTTAGCACAAAATGCTATTATTTTGTGATGTAAACAAAATTGTTTAATAACTAAACGATTGCATTATTATACTTACGTAGTAGGCGACTGCGGATTCGTCTCTTGCTGAGTATCTGAGCAAACGGTAAGAGAATCGTTACTGTCAGGATCAGGTAAATTGGCTGCTCTTCTGATGGCCGACATCCAACTGGACCTAATGCCGGCTGTCACCGCGGACAGCACCGTGTTACCTCTGTCGTCCCAGGCCTGTGTTGTAAAGTAGTTAGTATGCGTCGCACAAATGATATGAACGTGAAAGAAATGTCACCGCATGGGTTTTATCTCGAGTGAGAAACGCGACCGTTGCCAACAATCAATAGTGTGAGCAAGAAGCTCCCGACTTATTCTACCGTGAAATTGAGTTAATATTTATTCTCCTGTGTGGAGCGCTCCCATTCTAAATGCGGAAGCTAATTCCAACTATCTAATTTAAACGCATCTATCAAGCTTAAATGAAAAAGTAATCCATTGTTTAAATTGAATTTGTACAATTTTTGGTACTTTTAGCTATTTTTCATCTTTTAATTACTTTCATACAAAAGATTTTTAAAAAAAGAATTAATATATGCGCACAGAAATCTAATTTTTCTGACTTTAAAATAAACTTTCTGAAGCTCTTTAACTTAATACATTCAATTTTCTCTCTGCTTTGAACCTTTCCAATGAAAAAAGTAGGTCACACTAGATCTCATAGAATCGCTAGACTTTAATTTAACATTAAAAAAATGTTATCGCATAATTAAACAGCTACATATAATTAAGCAGATTGTTTTGCAAAAGCGGCTAGGTACTTTCCGAGAAACATGAATGCTCCTAACTCACGCAAACACGATATCGTAATTATGATTACTTACGACAGTCTGAAATCCATAATTTCGTGCGACCTGAAGCGACGTGACCGCGGTGACAGTATTGAGGTCTATAACACCGTCCATGATGCCCTTGTCTTCCGCACAAGGATCTCTGTAGTACATCAGCCCGCAACCTCTCAACACAAACCAATGTTTGTTCCATTCCTAGGTAACAACATTTTTTTTAATAATTAAAAATTTAATTAAGGTGCATAAATTTCTGGAACTCCCCTCATTGCTGAATATGCGAGACGCACCTTATTCAAGCCCTGTTTCATCAGCCAGCCCTTCTTGATATTCAGCAAGTCCTCTGCCGGCAGATCGACTCTCAATTCGGAAGTGGGTGAATACCTGATGCCGGAAATGTCTAGACCGCAGCCATCGGGATCGCCTCTGATCTGTACGTGAAACGCGTATCATAATATATTTTATTTCTAAGCAAAATTAAAATGAGCATCAATATAATCCTTCATAGAAAGTCATATTTTTACGTAAATCTCACAAAATCTTAATTATTTTGTGAGAACTACATTATACAAGACGATTAGACAATACTTCCATAAAATATTTAATAAATGTGCTTTTTGAAAAATAGTTAATTATTCTGCCGATGCAAGATACAATTTAATAATAATTTATCTTTCCATTACGTACAAGTTTATCCTGATGAGCCGCATTGACCGCATCCACGACATCTCTGGTTGGCTCCGAAGTTCTTGGCTTGATTCTTCTCATTCGTGGCTGTGTTAATGAAGCTGCAATATCTCGTAGCTTTCCCTCTCTTTCTCGTTCATGCTCCAAAAATATCCTTCGGCACGCGTCGTCATCTATACAACATATATTTTCCTACATTTCTTACTTCTGCATCATGCAACATACCGTAATATAATATTAACAAATTTTATCCCCTATCTATATATTAAATCATTCTCTATAATTTTGATCTGTTCGCGAGCCTAACGGCGTATCCCAAGACGATATAATATTTAGAACGCTCGTGAGGAGAATCCAAGAGACCACCGCACGAGACGAAACCGCTAAGTCAGCTTCTTGCGTTCGTATGTTATCAAATATTCGTTTTGCTACGTCGCATCGCCGCGTTGCCGAGTTAACTAATTAATTTCTTTTCTACTTAAGCGCCGTCTGCTCGAGATGGGCGCTCGTTGGTACGAGTAAACGACCACTCCGCATTAATTGACTGCCGATTAATTAATAACTTTCGTGTCTGACGAAAGATTCCAACGTGAAATTTATTCACGAGAAATTTGTGATTTATTAGCAAAACTGTAATTCACATTGAATTACAGTTTTGCTAATAAATCACAAATTTCTCGTGAATAAATCCTACGTTGGAATCTTTCGTCAGGCACGATTAAACTGACCAAGGCTAATCGGCGATCAGCGGCTTAAATCTCGTGAGTGATTTCAACGCTCCGATAAGACAGACGCGTTTCAATAATCCGCGTTCGTTGGAAATCGTTAGTGAGATCGTTCGACGGATTTCACGTGCCTGCGTTCCGATTTTTCGCGAAGTAGTTTCTAAAGTATCCCGTCGTTCGTTTTGCGTCAATCTAAATGAAATCTATGGATCGCGCGGCGCAGCGCAGTGCAGCGTACGGCCGAACGGCCGTAGATTTCCTTCGCGATTGTGCGTACGCAATTACGCAACGTGTAACGCCGGGTACAATCGAGACGGTACAATCGGATCCTGATACTCCCCCGGGAGCTCTAAAGACAAACGTATGGACAAGAATCCGATGTTGAAAATCCTATAAGTTATAAGACCAAAAAATAAGAGTACCGATTTTTCACGTTCAACGTGAAAATCACCGTAATTCTCAAATTACGGATAGAGACTTTTTCTTAATAATACATTGAAATACATTCATTATTATAATATTAGCTCTGATAATATTAATTATATAGAATTATTAATTATATAAAATTAATTATATAAAATATTTTTCTCTTCTGAAAAATATTCAGTTTTAATAATTAATAGCTTTCTATACAAGCCCAGCAACATTTTCACACTAACTGCTACGTTCGTGGTATCAATTATATTGAACAAAAATAGGTCAGCTCTAACTTAATACATCAGTCGTTTCTTCCGAGGGCTGCAAATCATCGTCATTGAGAATGTAAAACGCAAAGTGGCAGCGTCCCAGTTTCCATCCGTATATAAACTAGTTTTATCTGTCTAGCAAGAAAAACTTTCGACACATGAATCGTGACAAGGTGAGACGAACTTCTTGAGAATTGATTCTAATGTGACTTTCACATGTACTTCGAAATGAAGTTACATTCTTTAAACTGTTTTGTCCATATATGTATATGTATTTTCTAATTTTAATCATCAATGATAAAGCATTAATCATCCCAAATAAAATAATCGGACATACGTAGCAATATTTTGTCATATCAGTATCTTAGCTATTAATAGCAATTATTAAATAATAATTAGAAAATATTTATTCAATGCATAACGTGAGATATCATAATGAAAAAATAAATCGTCTGAAAAACAAACGTCTGAATAATTAAGAATCGTCACACACATTCATAATCTATTATTTTTTTAATAAGTAAATAAATATTTATTTGATACTATTCAAACAAATATAAATATATTAAGATTTAATAAATTTTTTTCAGCGTACATATTGCGAACAGACAACAAAAAATTTTATTTTTCATATTGCAAAGATATAAGGCAGACACCATAAAGATATCAGGCAGATGTCCTGTATCAGAATCAAGGAGATGTCAAGATGACGGTATTATCCGTAGGAATCGCCACGTTAATAGGGATTGTGCCTCATTTAATATACCGACCTAGTTTCTCGCCAGAGGCTGGGCCGGTCGTGTCGCCGATGATGCTGCCGGTCCGCTCGCCCTGCTGATTCATCCTGCGCCTGGCCTTGTCCTCGGCGCGGAGTTTGTCCCGGGTCGGCGGTGACGCGCTGCTAGCAGGTTGATCTCGATAGCTCGTCGATCTCGCGCCGTCGTTGGGAATCATCGGCAGCTCATCGGCCAACGAAACAATGCTGCTCGTCGTCGTCGTCGTCGTCGTCGCCGTTGAGACGGGCGTCGAGGAGGTCGAGTAGATCGTGCTGTAGACGTTGCCATTCAACGATGATGTGGTTGACGTCACAGTCAGATAATTTCCGGTGGAACCATTCTCGAGAGCACGCAACGGCGACAGGCTATTCCTGATCTCGGAGACGCTCTCCGTGTTGCCGTTGGTCAGGACGTTGTTACTGGTGGCGGTGACAACGCTAGTCGTCACCAAGGATGGCGTAGACGAGAATACAGAAGAGCACAGATCCGACGTTCCGCCACCGGTTTCAGGAATCCATGCGCTGCTGCGCGGCTCCGATCGGCAGCTATTGAAACGCGGTCGCGGTGGATTTGGCGTGTTACCTGGCGATCAAGTTCAGATGCCACCTTTTGTAAAAGCTCAGACAAGCGAATAAAAACAGACGGAATGCAAGATCTCTACGAAGAATAAAGAAATACGAGGTATCTTAGTTTTTCTTAGAAAACAGCGATGTTAAATTCGAAAACTGTAGTACACACAGAAAAATACATACTGTTCGCAGGTAATAATTACTTGTTGCTAGTATTTTAAAAGTTCACGTATTCGCAAATCTATCATAAATTCATCACAAGCATCAAGTTTATTCAAAACATATTCTGAAAGTCCTAATAAGTTTAATACTTCAATTAAAAATATTAAAACAAATTCGATTTGCTCGTTGTATGAAATCGTTTCTTCAATCAATTTTATAATATTCTTCAAAAGAAAATAAATTCTTGTTTGAATATATAATAATAAGTTTTTCTAAAATTTGTAAGTACATTTTAAGATTGCTATCAAGGAAATATTCCTTGTTAAAAACAACCATTACTTAAAAGGAAGAAAGTAAATTGAGTAATCAGTTTTCTTATAGCAATAGAATTATGATATTTTTCTGTGTGCAATACGAAAGAGACTTATTTTAAGCGACATTATAGGATCATCGTCTTATTGTTAAGTGATACGTGACACAACTCAAGCTAATCGTTGTAATTTTCGTCGTGAATAATTGAAATAAGTACAATTCAATTAAGGATAACGAGAACTTCGTTCTCGAAACCGGGGATAATAAGGTGGCAGCGGTATAATAATAGTCGCACATTGTGCAGAAGAAATTTGCCTTCTCCCTCGCTCCAGTGTCGTCCTGTTATTTGTATTCATTTCTGTCACTCGCGTTCCATGTGATATTTACCACGTCGACTGAAATGTTGCACGTTACCCCTCGTTATGTCAAGTTGTTTGCGTAAAGACCTCTGTCTATGCAATACCGCGAAATGGCTAAACGAGGTAGTGATTACACCATCGTGTTAACCACCAGCGTGGAAATGTCTACGCATATTATACACACTATAAAATTTACATAGTATACAACCAGTAGGTACTCACTTCGAATCGTCGGTGTAACTTGCAGGATCGTCGTCTGCCCACCGGGAAAGGTTGCATTTCGCTTGTGACGACCCTGAAAATACAGAATAGCACACCTATGAAAACATCATAGAAGAGAATTTACCCAAGGTAAATTTGCTCTATTGTTAAAACTCTCGAGCGTTTCTTTGCCGTAACAATCTAACCGGATAATCGATCGCGATGTGGTACGCACGATCTGAAAAGCGATCCGCGAATAATCGCACGATTACGTTCATCCGCACCCGTAATCGTGAGAACACCATGATCTGCGAACGGATGTATTTCTCGGGAAATGCTTAACCCAAATTTTAATTTAACGTGTATGAATCACGAAACATCTATAAGTCATATTATCTACTATAATAATATAAAAATATATTTATTTATTCATTAATTCGGGAATAACTTTACGTTTTTAATAGCATTTGACATTGTCTTCTTACATTGTTCTACATTCTCAGTTGAAAGAAACTGATGATTACTAATAAGTCGACTTCGCGAGTAATCTCAAGGTGCAAAGCAAGCCTCTTTTGCATAGACAGCGTGGCGATTCGAAGGACAACGGAGAAAGAGGGATAATCGTAAAAAAATGTGGAAAATAACGCGGGAGCAGGGTTTCCTTCACGTTCACCCACGTTAAATGTCGCGTGGAACATAAGTATACATCTCGCCTTGGCCTCGTAATGTAATCGTTCGTTTACACCAGCACAAGGTCCGCGACAACGAAGTGTAGCCATTTGCCGATCGATCGTTGCTTGCGTAATGGAATTGACGTACGTGTAGTCATGTAATCTCGGTACGAACAATGCAAGCCTGCGACGAGATCCTAAACATGCGAGGACGATTGATCGATTACTAATCAATGCGAAACCCGCGGGCGCAAAGAATACTTCATTCTGTTCTGAGAAGATTATCTCGCTTTTGCGAGAGAGAGAGAGAGAGAGAGAGAGAGAGAGAGAGAGAGAGAAGGAAAGAGATAGAGAGAATCTGTCTCTTTCCTTCGAATGTGTATGAAGGAGAATGTTTTTTGTTTGAGAATTATAGCTTTACGAACTTCACACACGCAGATTGTAAGTTGTAACACATAATTCAGGTACAATAATTTACAAAGGGGGGGGGGTGGGGGGGGATCGGATATGCAAAGTGGTATTTGCACGTTTCAGAATATTTCTTTATACGTTCCGACAATTTAACTCGAAAAATATTTTTCTCTCGCGACTGCATTCTTTCGTTAATTAATTTATAAAGTTAATTGGAATAAAAATATGCGCGCTCTAAAAAAGAAATAAGGAAAACATCAACTGAAATGTCAATATGTTGACGTAATACGAAACCTACTTCGAGAATGGATTTTTGGACGTGTATCCGAAATAAAAAAAAAATATCTCCCTGCGAAATCTACTATCTTTCGATAAAATACGTCGATACGATCGTGTGTGCAACACGATCGCAGTTTTGCACCAGAAATGCTGAATGAAGAGATATTTCTGGTTGCCGATCGATCATTTCTTGCGTAACACATGATGGAACGATTCGCTGCGTTGTTATAAAATTCCGAACGATGTAACGGAATGACAGCTTTCGAGCGATTCGATTTATGACGGGGCTGATTTATTTGAAAGTTCGCGAGCAGACATCTCGGTCCACAATTTAACTAGACAATCGCTTGGATCAGAAAGACGATCGATATGATGCGACTCGAATTTCTTTTCGGCTTATTCGCCGACGACTTATAAGTTGCGCAATAAACATATACAACACGCGATGTACAAACGCTGTATAACGCTCGATACACTGTTGTAAACTTGAAGTCGTCGACAGGCAGAAATTGGATAAACGTGTCTCGTTTTTTTTTTAGCAGCACTGTTTTACGGCCGCAACAATTTACAACACGCGTGAAACGCATGTTGCGTGAAATGTCATAAATTTACGGTTTCTTTGTGGCGCCGACATGATATCGACTATGGAATGACGGAATTGTAAAAATTACTTACGTATCTTTCAACTCGTTCGCCGATCTTACATATCTCACTTTACATATCTTGCCAATTAGCAAACTTATGGCTGCTAATAAGCGAAATATAAACAGAAATGTGAATATCATACTTCGAGCAAGTTCTCTAGTCGACGATGAGACGTCAATATAGAGAATTTAAAAAGTTTTAAGTATCTAACTTGTAACGTGACACGTTAAGAGCATGCACGTAATTAATGGAGTTACCACTTGTAAGGCAACTTTTACAGACTAGAAACGATCGTTCTCACGTCTGGTCAGGTTCGCAAGGACGCGATCGCATAGCAACGAGTGAAACTGTGCACTCTCCATTTGTCACCAAGCGCTTTCGGTTGTCGGCTGAATAATAGGCGTTCTTTTTGCGACGCCTCGGCGCGGCGTTAAGCGACGAGTGAAAAGAGAAAACGGGGGCCCTTTAGAGAGATCGAGAAAAAGCGGATGAATCGCAGGAAACGGCCAATCGGCTCGACTAACAACCCCGCGAGATGCAGTCCCAGTTCCTAGCAGTGACAACTCGCGCACTACTGAACGTTATTGTCGGCATAATGAGTGCGATGCGATACGCACATCGGTCAGCGTGGTGATTATGCGAGGCAACGTCGGCAGATTCACTGTCGCTTACGCCATTTTTTTTTTTTTTTACCAAGGTCTTTTAAGCGTCGATCGGCACAATTACACTCAATAATCGCTTCATCACGCGAAAGCGCCCGTTTATGAACTCGACGCTCACTTTTATGTTGCATTCTGTCCTACATTGACGCTAATCCCATGACGTATGACAGCTTCTTTTATGTAATGAAAAACAATAAAGACATTTCATCGCCCATATCGTCCATAAAGTAATGATCAATAATCTCGTTCCCTTGTACATAAAATTTACGTATTGACAGCGTTCCAGAATTAAATCGTAGATAAAATCAATTCATAAATTAAAAAGCAGATGATATTTTTTTAAAGCTTTGTGTAAATTATAAGTACCGTGAGAATTATTGTGAAAGAAAATAAATTCTCCGAGATTTAACACGTTTTCCAGACCTCAACACGTTCCATATCAATTTGAGCTGAAATAATCAAAATGTTCTTCAGATTCCCTCTTGTATTAGATTTATGGTAATACGTTGAAACCCTACCAAAGCTAATCCCGTCGACGCGAAAAGACATCGCAAGCAGGGGAATCATTCTTGCACGCGTAACAAGCGTGACGCGAGAGAGGATGCATGGCACGTAATGATTATGCGAGAGCACCAGCAATCAACCGACAGTTGCGTTTTCTTACCGTTTGCGTGACTCCGTTCTCTCGTGCAACTCTTTTCGATGCAATACAGTCATGGATGCAATACATCGATATGGAGTCTCGATGCTGCGTATCCTCCGTAATCGACAGCAAATTAAATTCTCAAATGATACACGTAAGACGCGATTTTACATCGCAAGTGTATATTAGGTATCAACGCTTTCGCCGATGGGCAACCGAGCCATTTTCTCAAATCGATATTTCTCTCATAATTTGACACAGAAATTCGATTTCGCCTTTCGCTGCAGTAGTTTCAATACATTTTATTGCGATTATGCAAATATCTCGATAAAAAAAAAATTTATCGCATTTCAAAGAAGCTATGCGGAGTTTGTGAATTATTTCCGTGTCTTGATATATTGTTAAATGCATTTAATATATCAAAACGCAGATAACCCGCGTAGCTTCTTTGAAGAATTAAAATAACCATTGAAGCCTTAAGAGTGTTATTAAATATACCATTTAATTTTTATTTTATTTATTAATATTTTTGCGATAGCATCTAATTAAGTGTTCCTTGACTAAATGACATATGACTATGTAAGACTAAAAAAATACAAGTATTGAGATACCGAACTGGACCAACCTTATTTCGCGAATACACTTGGAGAACGTCCGTCCACCACCTGGTCTCTTCACGACATGTCCCTTTGACGAAGGTCACACCTTCCGGTGAGGTTACGGCAAGACTGTAAGGATGCCCAGTGATGTCCTCGGCTGCGGCTACCTCCAGGACGCGGGTCATGTCAATCCTCGCCTGAGGCACCGTTTCGGGCTGCAATGATAAGAGGAAAAACACCTGATATAAGATTGGCAAATACGAGCGTTCTACTTTACACGGAATTACGGGAAGTTAACGTAATGAATCATCAAATTATGTGGATTTCTAATATGCAAATGTCGCGGTTAGAGATCCTATATTAACAAAAGCAGATAAAAAATGGCAGATAGAAAGAAATATTTGCTTTCTTTTTCTTATAGCTTTCTATCTCTTTTTTTTCTTCTTTCTTTCGCTTTCTCTCATTTTCCAAAGATAGACATAGCTATCCGAATATATCAAATGGATCATAAATAGAAGACCAAAATTAGAAGACTCTCTCTCTCTGATCCACTTTAGCAAGACTCTTATTATAGGATCTCTTATCGCGATTTATCTATGCAAACACCGATGTCAAAAAAGACACCCGAAATCGACGCGAATGTTGTAAACACAAATATTATACGATGATAATAATATACTATCAATCGGTGTGTACTTGTCACTATTAAAATGAAAAAGAGCGAATAATGATAATAAACGAGATAATGGTAACCATCATCAACAGCATGCACAGCCATCGCAACCGCAAAGCTCACTTTTTTTATCGAGCTCAATGCTTTCTTTTTGCAAACGACCGTTTTGCGAAATTACACGTGCGTTACACGTTCGCATTCGGTCGGCTGGGTTACATCGGGCCCGCTTTACCGGAAACGTATCATTTCAGCGCAATAGCGTAATCGACCGGTCGCAGCCGACTATTCCTCCCATCTCCTCTCACCTCCTCCCGGCCGTAAAAGTTGCATTCCGCGGAAGGCAAGAATAACGTCTTATTGCCGATTCCAGCAAGGCACTTCGCTCCTCGTAAAACGAAAGTGAGTCTCATCGGTGATCGCGCAATTGCCGTCAATTTGAGAGGAAAAAGGGGGAAAGAGAGACATCGCGGAGAAACAAGACGGAGACGAGAGATCGGTGTGAGTCGCACGTTGGTCAAAGCACACCATTTGCGAGTGCCGTAGGCACTTTACACCGCGTAAAGTGCACCCGGGAATGTCACCATAATGCAATCGTTGATACTCCTCAGGAACGAGCATAGCTGCTTGCGTCGAACAGATCGCTTTCATGTCGGAGGGGAGTAATGTACGACGAAACGGATAATAAAGACTAATGACCAATCTTTGGGTAATAAATTGAACAATAAAAAAGAGAATGAACAACTCTTCGCATTAATACCAGCAATAATATTATTATTGTAGAACAAAAATTCAATTATTAGAAAAAAAAAACCATCACGATGAATCGGAGTTCCTTTCAACACCTAAAATGCTGCCTTAAAAAATCATTGCCAACCGATCTCGTTCACTGTACATTGTAAAATGTACACAATAAACCTCCGATATATTTTACATTGTAAATTCATAATTGAGTCAAATTATATCCAATTTGAGTTATTTTTAATCATTTCTATAAATCGTCACTGTTCCTACTGCATATCGTTAATTTAATTAACAATAAAGTTAAACAATTTGACTTAAGTAAATATATTAAATTTGACTCAAATTTAATTTATTATTTACAAAGTGCATACAACTAAAAAAGTTTCTTACAAAAAATTATTAAGCTTTCACTTTAATGGCTTTTTTTAGGTCGAGAGAGGGAACATTATCTCTCGCCATATCGTTCTCCTGATGTCACTTTCTTGGATTAATTCTTCTGGAGATATTTCAAGAACATAGTTTACTCCACCAAGATGCCACCAAGATGAACATGATTATTCTCGATAATCGAATTGTGATCGCCGAATTGTTAATACCATATGTTAATGGCATGCACTTGATGAAAACTGGAATATCAATTCGACATTCTTCGTGCCATTAAAGATGCTTACATAACGGAAGTTTGCTTTTTGTAAAAAACTTTTTTAGTGGTTCTTTACCTAGAAATATATGTTTGTGTTTATTTCACATTATTTTAAAATACCAGAGGTTCATCGTGTACATTCTGTACATATTTGCATATCGTATTACAGAAAAAAAATGCAGAGACGTATTTATTTATAGGAATTAGAATATAATCACGAAGGATTCGATTTCGCCACACGTTCGTCCTAAAAATGCTCATCCACGAAAGATGAAGGCACTCGTAACGTCGAGTATATATGCGAGGCAACGCGTATAATTCAAAGTGCCGCCCGCCCAGCAATTTTTCTCGCGCGCGAGCAACGACATTATTCTTGAAACGTGAGGAGGTTCATTTGCGCAGCGCACATCTCTCGGCGTTTTGCAAGCCTATACACATATATTCTCCTCTTACTCCCTTCCTCTGTCTCTCCCCGCTCGCATCGGGATAATGCAAAAATTTACATATGAAAAATCCCTCTTGTAGCCCGCATAATTAATCGCGAAAGATGAGAGAGGGCACGAGTGCACTCGAAACCGATGGCGGAGAAAAAATTTATGAACGCGAAAAGTACGAGACGGTGCGACGATGAAAATAATTAAAACATTATTAATAGTTCTCCTGCGTTCTTTTATTCTTTCTCCGCGTTTCGTCTCGTGCTTTGTAACGTGAAATTTTATCAAAATTCTTTGAGAGAAAAATTATATATACTTTCTTCTTGTACGTATACTATCTCACTCTAACTTATATTTATTCTATAATTTTAATTAAAGTTATAGAGTGAGACAATATAAATTAAATGAAATTTTATATATATATATATATAAGTATATACTCTCTACAACTTTTAGAATAAGATATCATTTTCAAAAATTAAATCTTATTTTTAAAGATTGAAAAGTGATTTTTTTCAAAATTAGCTCAATTTAAATTCTTTAGAGTAAGATTCTACTCTAAAGAATTTAGAAAATATATGTACCTTTCTCTATCATATAAAATTTTGGCAAAAATTTGTTCGTGGGAAGAGTCTATTATTAGATTTCTAAATTACCCGCATGTGCGTTTTACGCACTAGCGATTTCATAAAATGCACTGATAACTTTTGAAAGACTAAGCGTAAGAAATTGGTGTACACGTCTTTCTCCATCTCAACAAAAAAGTAATAAATCTAAACATTAATTTTTTAATCACTTTCACAGCCACTTACTTAAGCATGCTTAAATTGAATTCGAACATTATTAGTATTTTCTAAATCTTTCTTGAAGGCCCCAGAGAATAATATTCTAGAAATCCATTCAAATTACATTTATGTCACTACTTTTTTTTCCTATATTTTCTATATCCTATAGAAAAGAAAACTTTATATTTTAAGAAAGAAAATTGTTACATATAGAAGTTTTTTAATCGTAGCTTATCTTCTTTCTTGAAAATCTATGTGAATGTAACTGCATTATGTAAAGGAGAGTACACCCTTCTCTTGCAAACATACATATACATATATACACACATCTCACAGCATCTCACAGCATCCCTGTATTGCCTGCATTTCAAGTAAAGTTCAAAGAACTCTGGATAGAGCGCGGTTATTGCGAGAAAGGGACGTGACGCGGGAAGAACGAATGCCAGAGAAAATCTGAGGATATTAGACACGGTGCTGCTCCCACATACTTGCCGCCTGCATGGCAGCGAAATATGAAAGACTTCTGCAGATAGACATTTACGAAACCAATGTAAACGTAGCGCTTTGCGAAATCTCTTGGAACAATAATAATCCATTTAACCGGCGGAGTTCGAATGTTTGTGAATGGCATGACAATATTATGCTATTGAAATATACGACGTGTTAAATACTGCTAATAACTGTCAATGTGATTGCTGATGTTTAAATAATACAAAACATGTATTTAGTATTCTGTATTAAATATTTAAATATATATTTACATATTCTCATGTATTTAAATATATACTGCTGTAATCAAAATTATTAAAAAATGATGAACAATTTACATCGCCGCAGAATATCGTAATTGTTCCGTAAATACTGAAACAAAATACATGAACATACAAACGCAATGACTCTTGATGCACAGGCACGAAAACGAAGATAAAAAATAAGTATTTTTCGGATCGTGCATGCATCTCAGGTTAAGACCGAAATACGCAAGGCAGTTATATTCGGCGAACAAACAAGTCTGAAAGAAAATCCATGACGCATTAAGCCCGCATCGCGGCACGAGTCTCTATTAAGGCAGCTTTCATATACTCTCGAATTATACTCTCAAATACAGACGAAGGGGTATGTCCAACCGAGCGATACATTACGGTCCTATGTCGGTTCTTTTGCGTACACAAGATCGCCCTGCTCTTGGTTTTTGTTTATTGGCAAGAAGTGGGTCGACCCTTTTGCTCGGCTTCCTGTTTGCTTACTGTTTAATAAAAGAGAAAATAAGTAGCATCATTATTACGGTTCTGCATACTACTTAGCGTATTACTTAAGTTTTACTTTAATTAACGTGAAATACTCTTAAAATTTTTAAACTACTCATTTTTTTAAAATACTCATGAAATTTTTAAGTATTTTTATATTAAAAATTATTATAGAATACATTAGATCTAATACGAGATAAATGGAGTCGTGACGAATTTTTTACGTGCACATAGTCTTTGATATTTAAATTAATATACATTTAATATACATGATGATTTTTCGGTACTTTACACATAATGGATGTCCTGGATTAACTTTTACAAGTACACAAAAATTATTAAGTAATTCTTACATATGCTTTGATATCTTCAAATAGTACTTGCACAGTTGTGTATTAAAAAAGGAAAGAACAGAGACTATTGGCTACGTTTACACCGTGCGCTTAGTCCGTGACCTATACGATAGGTGTCTTTGTTTAATCTACAGGATAAACAAGGACATCTATTGTATAGGTCGCGGCTTTTATATATATATATATATATATGTTTTGCCAAATATTTTTACTATTTCAAAGAAAAGAAATGCGCAGAACATGAATGATTCAATCGTGTATATTAAGGATTAACATACTCTCTAAATCTAAATCAGTGAAAAAATCACTAATTGAATCAGTGATGTCTTGTATATCGCT